TAGTTTGGTTTCAAATTAAGTATGGGAACTGTAAGCATCAAGGGTTTGAGTTTATCTTAACACACTACATACTTTCAATTTAACATGCAGACTTTAAAACCTGTACGTGTTTTAAATTATAAATTACAGAATTTCTGAGACAATGAGAACCTACAAAAAGTGGGCTACTCTTTTACCACTTTCCATTTAGTTTTATCAATGACAGTACCATTTAACTAGAAATCAACATTAGTAGATACCTACTAGTCAGGCATAATTACAGAAAACAGGAATTCCCCAAAATAGTTGCCATATCTTTCAGAAACTATTTTAAAACATCCTTTAATAAAGGTCTCTAAAACAGTTGATTTAAATATGTGCCTAAAAATTAAACAAGCCTGTCCATCACGTCCAATCTTTACTGGCTTATGTTCATTCCAAGGATTGGTCAGATGAGCTGACTTAGTGAAGGGTAATTCACGCCTAAATACAAAAAAAGTATAAATTATATTCTTTTGTAGAACCCTTTAAGGATGTTATACTACTTCAGTAGTGAATCAATGTTAACTGTGAGTTGACATGCATAAATTCTAAAGAATCACTTCCATTAGTAAGGTATAATTCTTTATAGAGAGCTCCTTCAATGTTTGGCTCTTTCTCAAAAAAAAAAAAAAAATCTAAGTAACTCCTTTACAGTGTTTCATTCCTGTGAATCCAAAGGTTAACTTGAAAATACTTTGTCAAAAAGGCATTTATTACATTCAACCTACCAAACATGGTTTAGCAACAAAGCAGAATGTGAAGCATATTTATCTACGCTCCTGAATGTGTGACAGACAGAGAGCTGCCCTGCCCAGCATCTCAAGATTAATACTTCCTATCACCTACGAGTTTGGGAAAACATCAAAATTAAAAATCTGATGTAGCTTCTACAGAATGTCAACTATCAAACTCACACAACTACAAATTCAAAAAGTCAAACCATCACAAGTTAGGGACCATTGGGGCTGAAGAGATGGCTCAGTAGTTAAGAGCACTGGCTGTTCCTGTAGAAGACCTGGGTTTGTTTCCCAGGGCCCAAATGGCTGCAAACAACCAACCACCTGTAACTCCAGTTCCAGGGGACACAACAACCTCTTCTGACCTCGATGGGCACTGCACGAGTGCAATTACGTACATGCAGGTAATACACGCATACACATAAAATGTAAAAAAATATATAAATATTATATTTTAAGGAAGGAACCATTGCTTGAGAACCAATTCAATTCAAGGTTGTTAAAGTCCTAACTTCTCCCCAGCTTTCATGTAAGTTCTTTAAATATACAAAAACAAAGACACCACCACACACTTCACTATCATTTATGTAATTAGTAGTACTTTCTGGGTACTCAAACATCTATACTTATTAACCATCCTACAAGGAGCTGAACTTTAATCCGGCTATTAAACCCAGATGAAAACAGAAGTGCACCTCATCCTTCACTTACTATTGCTCTCTCATCTTCAAGGGTTCTTCCTTATTCATTAAAGCAATATTCAACATTCAAAGAATGTTCTTGAGCTGTATGATTACTTACAAAGTTTCATGTAGTATCTGTATTAATTGTACCATCTCCTTAAAGATATTAGCTATTTAAATAAAACACTGGCTTTAAGCTCTGAGCTATAAGGCAAAATGCTCAGACCAAACCTAAAAATAATTCTGTATTTTTATCGCTCTTAGCCTAGCACAATGATGAACACAAAAATAAAATCATGTTAACTGAAAAGAAATAATAAAAATTAAAAGCACGGATAAGACTTGTTAGTACGTAATTAACAAATTAAACAGA